CCCCCCCCCGTGTAATATTCGCCATAATTTTAATCTTACAGAAAAAAATAAATATCTTCTTGAACACAATGCTCCAGACTTCCACATATTCACTAATTATCTCTCTGACAATATGGAAAATGCAGTCTCTCACAGATTAGGTATTAAGCTACATTTTAATTTAATTCACAATGAAAGAAAAGAACTCCTTTACAGAAGCCATTTTATAATTAAGTCTTTGTACACACAGGCTTCGGCTTATATAAGATCATTATGTACATTCACAAATAATTCAGGAAGCTTCAAGCTGCTTCGTTGGAGCCTTCAGCTCCAGTGTGCATCACAACAGGAGACAGTAAAAATGTGGAGGTGATCAGGAGGAATCAGAGGAAGATACCACACTTCTGGAAGTGTCATTCTTCCAGCAGACTTTCAGGGACCCTTTCTTGGCAAATGCACTGGCTGTTTTTTCCAGTTCAGCCCCAACAATGAAAGACAAGGCAATTTGCCTAGTTTCAGATGTGCTCAATTCAGCATAAGCAACAATAAAAAAAAAACAGCCGGGCTTCTGACTTCTTCACCTATATTCAATAAAAAAAATTAAAAACAATGTTTGTGAGTTCTTTTTTAACCTTAAAAAGACCCTGTTGGCAGACCAATGATTTCAACAAAAATCTTTGTGCAAGATTGTAGCTGAGTGCCCTCTTACCCAACTTGCTCAGTGGTGGGTGCTGGCTCCTTAACTCTGCTTCACACTATCCCTTTGGCTCCCATTATCCTCTGGACTCCTGGACATGTCACCTCCTACCGGGCTCAAGTGCTCAGAAAGACCACACATGATGGAGAGCAGTAGCTGGCACATTAGCTGTCACCAGGTGCATTATTGTAGGCATGCAGGCTGCTGGATGAGAGTATAAGAGAAAACAGTTTCATTGTAAGCCCCAGTCACTGTGGTGGGCACTGTGCTACCTGGCTCTGGGGGGCTACCCTTCCGGTGAGGTGGTCCTGCTTCCTCCCGCCTGTTCAGGCATCCCTGCCCTGGGACTTCTTCCACCACCTTAGAATCCATACCAAAAACTCTTCCTGTCATTCCCCTATGGAGCGTGCTTGGAGATCCCTGACCATCTTGGCTACCAGATGCAGACAACCTTCCTGTGACAGAGGTGTGACTCCCCAGGGAACCAAAAGTAATTGCATTTGTACTAGACTGAACTGTACTGCACTGCTAATGCCATAGCAGTGCAATGCCATAGTGATTCTCCTTATACTTTGTTCTATAGGAATCTGTTATTGTGTACTATGCTGCCACCTAGCGCCTTTAATGGTGAACTGCTCCTACACAGCACCTGTTTCTACAATAGTTGTATTGCCTGTTATATGTTGTCCTGTGCTTATTGCATACCCCTTTACCATATTGTTTACATTGTCAATTTATCCTGCATTCATTTAGTAAATATCAAGTTGCATATGGCTGTTTGTCTGATCATTTGGCTATTATCTCCATATTACAAACTTATATGAGCATTTAACGTATTTTATGCAGGTTATTTACCTGTAGAACACCCCCTTGTGTAGACATCTAAAAGCCCTGAAACTGCCGCTGGGCACTGCCATCTGGTATGTGATGTCAGCAGCCGCAACTCAAGTGGCACTCTATAGCTGTGGTGAGTCAGAGGGACCCCTTTGCAGAGACACTGTCACTTTGACCTGCGTGGGCAAGGTAATACTGTTTCTTTAAGTGGACCCTAATGCTTAACCTTCTAAAATCTAAACTTACCCTTTAACTATACTCTTAACACTTAACCAAAATCCTGAAACATAATGCCCTAAGCACTAACCCTAACCTTAATCATAACCCTTGACCTTAGCACAACTCTTTACCCCATGCTTAACCTAAACCCTAACACTAAATGTTCACTGTGCTCACCTTATCAGGTACCTGAAGTTTTAGCACTGTAAGCTAGCAGTCCTGCTTCAACATGTTGGCACTGAAAATTAATGATCTGCAAAAACTTAATTTATATATAATTTATAATAATATATGTACAATAGATAGCTGTATGTGAATATTACATATACAGGTGAAACTCGAAAAATTAGAATATCGTGCAAAAGTTCATTTATTTCACTAATGCAACTTAGCCGTCTACCAGGAGATTTTGGAGCACTTCATGCTTTCTTCCGCAGACGAGCTCTATGGGGATGCTGACTTCATTTTCCAGCAGGACTTGGCACTTGCCCACACTGCCAAAAGTTTTCTGAGATTGTGGATCTGGGTTTTCATGAGCTGTAAGCCATAATCATCACAATTATGACAAATCATGGCTTGAACTATCTTGCTTTGCATGTAATGAGTCTATCTCATATATTAGTTTCACCTTTTAAGTTGCATTAGTGAAATAAATGAACTTTTGCACGATATTCAAATTTTTCGAGTTTCACCTGTATGTATGTTCTGCTTCCGCTTTGTGCCTACCAAGTCTACTACTAGTCTACAAGACAAGGCCTGTCTTACTGAAAACAATAGAACCTCTCTTGTCTACAGTAACACAAAACTCCCACAATGCTTCAGGTAGCAAGGACCATGCGATCTTTGCCTCGGCCTTAATATTAAGTTACATATTTGCTTCAGTCAGATAGAACTAACACTCACAGATCTGCCAAGTATAAGTTGGGCCACACTTCGTCCACGTGATGAGGAAAAGGATGTTTACTATCCAAGAGTCTCTGGAGCTCTCGTATTGTAGGGCACACATCTGCTTGAGACTCCTCTCCCCCGGGCAGTGCTGTCGCTTCTTCCTCTGCCATAACATTACATGCAGGAAACTCTGTGTGACAGCAATGCTATGATGGCATGGGACAGGTGACAAGTCAGACTACACACTGCTACACACTGCTCAGTGCATGATCAAGTGCTCCTAATAAAACATTATGTGCATGTAAAGTCAGGAAATATAAAATGAATCAATATAAAAAAAATGGTAATGTACTGAATGGGAATTATTGATGGATGAACAACGTAAAATATGTACTGGCTCTAATTCAGTAAGTTTTAGTTCAACACACAAGTCATGTGACTGTAATTTTCACATTTCATTATTTTCAAATTCAATCCGGGGGCTGAAGTAACTAAAAGTCACAGGTTTAAAAATGTAATGTAATAAACCTCAGTAGAACTGAAGCCAAAACTTTTTTTAGTTTTGGGTAGAGTAAGGGAGGGTTGTATCCCCTGTCATTTTTATTGCCATCTGTGTCCCATTGGGGAGATTTCCATTCACCTCCTGTCCAAAAGACACATCAGGAAGTGAGAGAAAAAGAGGGAAATCCCTGGTGATCCACAGAGCAAGGACAAATGAAGAGGCCGCAATAACAACCTGACAAGTCTTCTAATTCTTCTCCAGTCTATGCAAAATGAAAAGAAATGTTTTGGCTTCCGTTGTACTTTAAGGACAGGAAGGACAGGTGCTGCGTGTGATTAGTACGCAGCCCCGTCTTTCTTTATGGGACTACGTGGCTAATCATACACAGCACATGTCCTTCCCGAGAGCGGCTCGATATGGCCCTGCATGCAGCACAGAGCTGTACGTGCCGGCCGATTACAGTGTGAATGAGGCCTAATTTGGTTTGAGACATCTCATGCTGTCTGTCAATCCCAATAGCAAATTTTATATTGAGACTTTTTAGATACCATACACTCTCGCTTCTATACGAAACTGAAGTTTTAAAAACATTAATAATTGAAAGCCCAATTGAACTTTCAGTTGAATCCAGCTAAATACTGTACATTCCAGGCATTTGTGGCCAAGGTCTCAGTTGATGGCCAGATTAACACAACTGTTTTCCTGGCACAAAAAAATAAGTGAACATAGGAATGTTTTTTGTATGTCCTAAAGTCGAGGACTCCAAAGATACCCAGATGGTACCAATCTGGGCTAAGGAATAGCAAAGTTTAATGGTAACCTTAAAGGAGAACTATGACATGAGTGATTTCCACTCACCTCATAGTTCTAAGCCGACCTTTGACAATGAGACTGTCACAGGTCGGCTCAGTAGATCGGGAGGTGAGCGAACAGATACCGGGTTCCCTCACCTCTCGATCCTGTCACGGCTCTCTGCCGTGACAGGGGGACGCGCTGGATTCCCCTCTCCCCGCTCCGATCTGCCAGCGCTGACTGGCGGAACGGACGGGGGAGGGGGCGGGTACAGCTGGCTCTGCCTCTAGATAGGCAGAGCCAGCTGTCACTCACGCAGCTGGGCGGATCCCGTCATCTAAGTCAGGATCCGCTCCAGGTGCGGCGTCTGACGGGAGGACGCTAGTTTGTGTCCTCCCGTTACCCCAAGGAGAACTATGGGGAAAAACACTGACCCCATAGTTCTCCTTTAAGGCCCCATTCACACGTAGCGACATACCTTTTGCAGCGGCCGGGATAGCGCGACTTTCGGGGCGACGTTCCAGCGACGATCCAGCGACGGTAGCGCAACCTTCTCCGTCGGGCTCCATTAGAAAAAAGCAAAATCGCGCAAAATCCGCCGAAAAAAGGGTCCTGTAGAAGCGACCTGCGACCGTGACTAGCGACACGGAGCTAAGACAGCTCCGTTGAATATCATTAGCCGACGACTTCTCGAGATATCGCGCGGCAAAAATGCGCGATATTGCGGCGGAAATCGCGCAATATATCACTACGTGTGAATGGGGCCTAAGGTGGCCATACACTTTACAACCCTCGCAGGACTTTTGTCTTGCGAGGGTTGTAAAGTAATTTAAAAAACTTACGATCTGCCCATCTTGGACAGGCAGATCGTACTTGCGATCATCGCAAGCCCGCCCCCCAGAGGGGCGGGCTTCCGATGACTGCAACGAGGTGCGGGCTTCCGATGACTGCAATGAGGTGCGGATCCAGGCCACTAACTCGCCGAGAATCGTACGATTCCCAGCGGGTTTTCCAGCCTGCTTGTTCGACGGAAGACGTGCGACCCTACAGTAGAAACGGTCGCACGCCTTCCATACACTTTGCAATTATCGTACGATCGTGGGATTTCCCGCGATTCTCGTACGATAATCGTGCAGTTTATGGGCACCTTGAGGGGTTATGTTCACACCAGCATGCTGAGTAACGTTATTGAAGTGTCACAAAATAACTCTTGATTTAACTCTTTGCATGGAAACGAGTTGACACATGCTGCGATGTCATGCGGCGCAGTGAATTGCACTGCGTAAAAATGCAGACATGCAATACGCCTTTATTGCTTTGAACAGGGTCCTTTTCTATGTGTACTTGTGTTGAGCCTCTTCTCCCTGGGCTCTGACGGTCTAAGGACCTATGATGTCACCACATCTGATACAGATCCTTCAGACCTAAAGATGCCAAGGACATTCCACCGCCACCGCGGTGGGGGGGATAGTTAAACAGTCACTGCTGCAGGACTGAGGATCACGTGAGCATTTCTTCCTTATTTTAGACCCCTAGACTAAAAACGACTAGTTAACCCTTGCTGTGCTGGAGTAGCCCCACTGCAAGGGTTAATTCGTACATTTCCTGGAGTACCTCTTTAAAAATCTTTTGAGTTTTATATCACATAGTAAAGATTGTTTTCACTTGCTACACTTGAGAAAGCGATGTTTTGTTCTTACTGATCTGACTGCCTACAAATGTGGAGTGGAGTTAAAACGAGGATTGGACCCTATTACTCAGAACGAGGCTTCTGTGACTGAGAACGAGGCTTGGTTTTAGGTGGTCAGAACGAGGCTTGGTTCCTGGTGGTTAGAACGAGGCTTGGTTTGTGCTTTTAGACTGAGGCTTGGCTGCTGTGGAGAACAGGCTGCGAAGTGTATCCAGCATGAAATAGGTGATGAGCCTGTTAACTGTCTCCATACTTGTATACAGCGACAGACATCAGGAGAGGTATTGTATTTGGTATTTTTTGAGGGCAGTGACTGGTATATTCCATTGTCTGGTGCACTGTGTGTATTTATGTGTGAAACATGTATGAAGTCATCAATATTTTGCTCATGTCCCAGTGTTTACATGACCTCTCCTCTGCTTTCTTCTGTTTACATTCACAGTCTGCTTATTTCTAGATATTCCTAAACTTTGTATAGAGTGAGGTTTTGTGTGTGGTAAAAGCTCATCATATGTGAATATAAATATTATGGTGAGGGTCCCTGCCAGCAGCAGATATGAGTGGATGGACAGAGACTAAAGTCGGGTATACATGGATTGAATCTCATCTGGTTCCTGAAGTTTGCACAGTGGGTGCGTTGATGGAGGCATCTGTTATATTTTCTTATATGTGTGCACCCGGCTTAAATCCATTTTCATGTTATACCCATCTTCAGAGTGTAAAATGACACACGGTCACATCACCACCACATAACCCCCCCACCTCCCCCTGAATACTGGAATACCAAGTGTTCTTCTCCCCACAAGATTCTGTATATTCTGCACTGCTGTGTCATCTATTCCCACATCCTGTGAATGGAGAGACTACCATTAGTCAAGTTCCATATGCCAACACAGCAGAGGGACTTGTAGTTCTCTAGTTCATCACGGCACTTGTAGTCCATTGACACTTCCTCCTGTCAGTGTAACTGAAAGTACAGAACAGTGGAGTCATCCTTTAACCAGTTGACATCCGCGGTGTTAAACCCCCTTCCCATCCAGGCCATTTTTACGGCGGCCCACCTGCTGTGCCGCTGCATATATTCATTGTGTCAACGGGGACAGGTTAACTTGGAGCCTCTTCACACCTATGATTTTCTTTCTCTGGTGTGTTTTTTTTCCTTTTAATTCAGAGGCATTTCAACTCTTGATGCGTTTTGAGGCGCATTGACACTCTATACAGAGTACATTGCAAAGCATGTTGGCTTGCGTTTTGATGCATTTCCATGAAAAGTTATTGGAGGGACGGGGACGCGTAGGCGTGAATAGGTCCTCAAGTTACTTTGACTCTTAAGTTGACACTTACTGCCTTGTCAATTACCTGACCCCAGTGACAGTGTTTCCCAGCCTCTGAGTGTGCATAACATTTTAAATGGAGCCCTGTAATAAAAGTTTGTTTAGCCCAAACTTTGTTTTTTTGTTTTGTACGGATTGAGAAGGGTAAAACCCCTGTTTGGTTATTTCTTGCTGCCTGGGGGGATTTCCCTTTACCTTCTGCCTTTGGGTGCCCACACACCTTACGATAATCGCGGGAAATCCCGCGATCCTACGATTATCGTAAGGTGTGTGGAAGCCGTGCGACCTCTACTACTGTAAGGTCGCACGACTTTAAACTTACGGACATGTTCGAAAACCCGCCGAGCATCGTACGAGGTTTGTGGCATGTCCGTACGATAACAGCCGTACGGGCCGGTGTGCGCAAGCGCACACTGCCCGTTCGGCATTGCAGTCATCGGAAGCCCGCCCCTCAGGGGGCGCGGCTTGCGATCATCGCAAGTACGATCTGCCTATGCAACATAGGCAGATTGTACGTTTTTTTAAGTACCTTACAACCATCGCAAGACAAAAGTCTTGCGATGGTTGTAAGGTGTGTGCCCAGCCTTAGAGATAAAATGGGAAGAGACAGGAAATCTCCCCAAAGTGAGGGGAATTCTCTCTTCGTTGTTGCTAGAACATTAGTCCCATTGGAAGATTTTCCTTCACCTCTTGCTGACATGACAACTTTGTAGCTGACTAACATCAAATGCACTCCATCAACTCAAACTTTCATCCAGAATTTACACAGAATTCAAGCCCTGACGAAGGGGGACTCCAGAGATGATTTGGGGATCTACAGCTAAGTGATAAGCAAATGAGCTACATTAGTGT